ACGAGAAAGGACTTCTTCAGGGTTGTTTTGTCGTGAAATGCAGCCTAAAAACAGCCTCTTTGACTAAGGTCGGAATTCCGACTTTGCTCAGGCATTTCACGTCAAGATACGTTTGTCGGCTTTTTTTCCATCGCAAAATGCAATAAAAAGACTCGACAAAGACTCCACAAAGACTATAGTCTTCACCATGAAAGACTCCAGTCTTCCCCATGAAAGACTCTGCAAAGACTGAGTCTCTATCCGAGTCTCTACCAAGTGCTCCGCTCTCAAAACAGGAACAAGTTAAACCATGGCAGCTGCGAGGCAAGCCCTAATCAAGCGCATCTACGAGGATCCGCGCAACGGTTTTGGCAGCATCGCAGACACGCTCAGGCAGGCTCGTCAGCAAGATCCTGCGATCACTCGGAGCGATGTGGTTCAGTTCATGGAGACCGTCAAAACCCGGGAGGACAGACCCCAAAGAGGCTACAACTCCTTCGTTCCAACCGAGCCCATGCACCAGCTTCAAGTGGACCTTGCAGACATGTCAGTNNTTTTCCGCAAAGCCCTACCGCTACATGCTCGTGGCCATCGACGTCTTCACAAAGAAGGTCGCAGCCGTGCCTCTGGCCTCCAAAACGGCGCCAGCTGCAGCCGCGGCGTGGAATCAAATCGTCAAAGCGCTCGGTGTTCCCTCCTACGTCTACTCAGACGACGGTTCAGAATTCAAAAGCGAGTTCAAGCAAAAGCTGGACTACTTCGATGTGGACAAAGTCGTGAGTCGAGGCCACGCCTACTTCGTGGAGCGTGCGATCAGAACTCTCAAAGAAGCGCTACTGCGGAGGATCTCAGCGGGGCTAGCGGCTCGGAACAGGTGGCACCAGCTACTCCCAGACGTTCTGGCGCAGTACAACAGCAGAACTCACGGCGGCACGGGAGTCGCTCCCGACCAAGCCTACTCGGATCCCACGAAAGCCGAACATGCCAGGCAAGTTATGCAGGCGCAGGCCAAGAGAAACGCTCCCCCTCGGCCGTTCCTGGCAGTGGGTGATAGGGTGAGGGTCAGAGTCAAGCCTAGGGAAAACAGAGGAGCCTACCGAGTTACCGAAACAGCCTGGACGGAGCAGAGCTACCCCATCACTCGAATCGAGCACACAGACATGGGTCCGCTGTTCACTCTAGGCGGTTGGCACGGAGGGAAGCTCGTTGCTCGAGACTTGCGCAAAGCAATAGCGGTGGGACGCTACGCGCTGGATTCGAGAGAAGCCAGAAGCGCATTGGCTCGGAGAGAAGTGCGGTTTGCGCCTGGCCCGGTAGCGCCGCCCTGATGCCAACTTGTATACAAACGCGCGCTCAGACGGACTAGGAACGATGCGCAAGCGATCTCAAACGGCTGTGGCTCTGAGTTGGTTGTTTGCCAGCAGTTGGACTCTGTGAGGCTCCGACCCTACCTATGTACAGATGGCGCGAAGGCGACGTGCTTTGAGCGACGGATTCGTCGGATGGCATCTCCCACCCTGTTCAAGTGGTGCGAAGACGCCTCTCACAACTTAGCAGGCCGCGCAGCTGTGCAGGACGTCACGAAGCCTGTAGCGCTTCGGTTTCGCTAGCTGGTTTCTCAGCGGACGACGTCTGGCCGACCCAACAGGAAGATCATGATCCTCTGAAAAGCGAGGCTTTCGATACCCAGGTTCGGATGCTCGGCCACTTTGGCTAGCATCTCGTGGTTCCGCCAGTGGCCCAAGGGCCGATTCTCAAGGGCGGACAGCTGGAAGACCTTGTCGTTCAGCGGGCTCAGCGCCTTCTTGCTGAGCTGGGCCACCGCCAGGATGAACTGCCGGCTCTGCAGCACCGAAAACGACGCCGCCTGCTCGATGCCAGTCGCCATGGTCTCGCGGTAGGCTTCGTGCTTCGGCCGCGCTCGCTTCACGATGCCCTTGGACTTCTGCTCGTCAGCGTCGTCGTTGAAGCGGGTGCTGTAGAGCTTGGCCCGCAGGTTGATCTCCTCCCAGACCCGCCGCGGCAGATGCTCCACNNTCTCGATGGCGCCCGGTTTGCCCACCAGGTCCTTGGCGAGGTCGAAGAAGCAAGGCCACCGACCGGGCTCGTCCTCGTTCGCCAGCGCCAGCTCGAGCAGCGGATCCCTGTCGGCCTTGATGAAGTAGTGGGCGGAGTCCGTGTCCGTGAGCGTGACCACAGCATCGGGGAAGAGATGCTTCATTCCCAAGTAGTGGTTCATGAGCATCTGCAGCCTGCTGAGCTCTAGCACTCGCCACCCAGCCTGCACCAGAGACTTCTGGCGGACCTGCTTGTCCACGCTGTGCACGACGCCAAGAAACTCGCCCTCGCCGAAGAAGACGTCCATGTCTTTCATGCGCCGTCCGTTCGCCGCCCGCACGAAGCTCGAGCTGGAGGTGTAGACCTGCGAGTTCTTGAAGCCCTCCACGTTCTGGATCAGCTTGCCGTAGATGGCGTTCATGACGAGCTTCAGCATCTCAGCCTCCAC